CCGGGTATATGGAGTATGGACATCACAAGTGACCCCCACCCACCTGAGACGGAGGTGCAGAAGTGTAGGCAGGTGCAGACTTTCCCCAGTGTAAGTGGCGCTCAACCACAGCAGCATTGCAGGAAGAGAGGAAGTCAGGAGGAACCTATTCCTCTATTGTTCCCTAGGTCACTGGGGAAGCAATCTGGTAGGATGCTGCTGCTACATCTGACTCTGGTAGCCATCTTGGGTCAGGCAGAATCTATTTAGGACCCTGGCTCCCAGCTTGGCAAGCATTTTGCGAGTAGAAATCGCAAGCACAGGTTACTCATGTAGAGAATGGTTCCAGATGAGTAGAGACAGGATAGGGACACACTATCCATTCCAGGAATCCTTCCAATTGGACCCAGACCAGTCAGGTCTCATCTCACCTTCAGAGACAGACGATGTTGGCACATCAGGACCTACTCTGCTCTGTATTACTGTTCAGAACTGTGAGTGTTCCCAGTTGGGTGTCCTCCAGCCAGGCTGTTTGTATCTTTGGGCAGTGACTTCAATATAAGTTCTGTGATTGGAAACTGAACTCTATGCGTTTACTGGAGCAGCACCATGCTGCACCCACCCACATACTGTACCTCCTCAAAGGAACACACATTCTAGGGCCTAAAACCTTGGGAGCAGAGCAGCAGCCATGGTGTGGGGCACCCCCTCTTGATAACAGCTTCTGGGTTACAAATGTTGTAAAATGAGTTACCATCTAAAAGTTGGAATTTTACACAATTAGAGGACGTTATTTTACTATTTAGCTGGACTTTATAAAAACTATTTGTATGAATTGTTTGTTTTACTGAGATTGACTATCACTTTGTATGGGGATATGAAGTTAAAATCTATTCAGACTGTAGGTGGGTGATACCAAGTCAAATTTAGGTACTGCTATTGCTTGTATTAAAAAATAAATAAACAAACGACTAAATAAAAAAAATCAGGATGTATAATGAATGGAATTCATTATTTGTGTCTTGTGTGCCTTTTCATGTATTTTGTGCCTGTAGTTAAGGCAGATATAAAAGACACATAAATTGCAGCTTTGCGTTACTTATTACTAGAGCAAAAATAAATTGGCAAATCATCATCATTCCATTAACAGTATTTTAATGCTCATTTGAAGTCATAAAAAAAGAAATTGGGTTTTATAGACATTGCGCAAGCAGTCTCTACTTTTCTGGTACAGTGGTTGTATAGGGTGTCGAAATATGCCTGTGCAATCCAATAGGTACCAGGGTTTAACCTAAAGCACTTGTTAATTTAGCATACCCAATCAGATACACCCCAGCTTCCTTGGCACCACTATTCTTTGTGAGACCACTTATGAGGCCTTTACTCATCTGTCTCCGTACGCTGTGTAGCAGAATGGCACTTTTTTCTACCTCTACCCCCAAACTGTCACTTGGACATGATCAGCTTCTCAGCCATCAGTCTCCTAGTAATCAGTGATGCTGAAGTGGGTGGAGCCTGATGGGGAAGCTGAGGCATGAGTCCTCCATTGGGTCTGCAATCTACTTGTAATTGACAGCAGGCAGTGGGCAGATTCTATAACCAAGAGTAGGCTATTAGCTACTGATCTGCCCATTGCCTGATGCCAATTACAAGGGGAGGGCACCTGATGGAGAACTAGTGTCTTTGAATCTCCCACCAGGTGTAGACAAACCACAATGATACCATTTTCCAGCCATAATGTTCTCATTACCACATGAGTTAATTCAATGCAAGCTAGTGTGCATTTTGTGGATTGGTAAGATGCAGTATCTAATGGCTATCTCTCTTCGTAGCAGCATATAATGTCAACAGTAACTTTATGTGTGATTGATCTCAGTCCTTCTACACTGGAAACTTCACAATTTTGTTTTTCCTAAAAGTCACACTGATGGGGCCCCCCTCCTACCCCAGGCCCCATAGTTGCTGCATTGGCTGCTAAGGCTATTGTTAGGCCACTATATACACCAAGCAGCCAAAACTTTATGACCAAGGTTAAGTGAATAACATTGATTATGTAGAAAGAGTAAATAGTGCAGTGCTAAAATTCGACCATAGATATGTAAAAATAAAAAATTGTAATTCAATATGAACAGTCTGTGTGGTTGTAAAGTGCCAAATAACTGGTAGACTCAATGGTGGTGCTCCGTGAATGATAGCTGAATTGCGCACTCACCAGAGATATAATAATAATAAGCATTATTTATTATATCCAGAAGTATCCTCATCAGGTATAGGTCTGGTCAGGTTTAGTAATCTTCCCTCAGAGTAGTAGTCATCAGGTGCCCGGAAGCCAGGATTATTCGGATCCAGGTAGCCAGAGGTCCCTATTTGGGGAATGGAGACTAACTTTACAACCAAACAGACTGTTCATATTGAATTACAATTTTTTATTTTTACATACAGTATCTATGGTCGAAGTTTAGCGCGGCACTATTTACTCTTTCTGTTGTATAAGGCTTTTATTGGTTACCTTGAGTGCACAGCAGCTGTTTGGATAGCGCTCACTTTTACTATTGGTCAACATTGATTATGTCATTAGCACTGCATCTGAAAGTCAGTGGATTGTATTAGGCAACAAGTAAACATGTTGTCCATGAAGGTGATGAACTGAAAGCAAACAAAATGGGCATCACAGTTAGTTGCATATGGGGCTGCATAGTCATGGATCAGTCAGGGTGACCAAGCTAACCTCTATAAACAGCAAAAAGCGCCTACAACGGGCACATGAGCATTAGAACTACACCATGGAGCAATGGAAAAAGGTGGCTGGTCCAATGAGTCACATTTTCTTTACATCATGTGGATGGGTGGGTGCGCATGAGTCGCTTACATGGGGAAGAGATGTTACCAGGATGCTCTATGGGAAATAGGCAAGCCAGTGGAGGCAGTGTGGTGCTTTGGGCAATGTTCTGCTGGGAAACCTTAGTTCTGCCATTCATATGGGTGCTACCTGACATGTACCACCTACCTAAACATTGTTGCTGACCAAGTACACCCCTTCATGGAAATGGTATTCCGTGATAACGGTGGCCTCTTTCAGCCAGATAATGCACACTGCCACACTGTAAAATAGTTCAATAAAGGTTTGAGGAACACAATAATTAGTTGTTCAATCTCAATCCAATGAAGCAATCCAGGGAGGTCTCACCTCACAATTTACAGGACTTAAAGGATTCGCTACTGATGGCTCGGTGTTTGCAGCAGAGATCTAGTGGCACCCATGCCTTGATGAGTCGGGACTGTTATGGTGACAAAAAGGGGAACCTACACAATATTAGGTGGGTTGTTATAAAGTTATGGCTAATTGGTGTACATACAGTTTATATATATATATATATATATATATATATATATGTTGGAACACCCCTCCAAATCATTGGATTCAAGTGTTCCTACCACCTCCATGGCCACAGGTGTATAAAATTAAGCATCTAGGCATGCAAGCTGCTTCAAAAAACATTTGTGAAAGAATGGGTCACTCTCAGCAGCTCAGTGAATTCAAGTGTGGTACCGTGATAGGTAAGTACATCCATGAAATTTGCTTGCTACTAAATATTCCATGGTGAACTGTTAGTGGTATTATAACAAAGTGGAAGCAACTGGGAACAACAGGAACTTAGGCCACGTAAAATGACAGAGAGGGGACAGGGCATGCACACAGTACGCAGAAGTTGCCAACTGCCTGCAGAGTCAGTAGCTAAAGTCCCCCCAAACTTTGTGTGGCCTTCAGATTAGCACAACAGTGCATAGAGAGCTTTGTGGAATGGGTTTCCATGGCCAAGTAGCTGCATCCAAGCCTTACATCACCAATAGCAATGCAAAGCGTCGGATTCAGTGGGGTAAAGCACACTGCCACTGGACTCTAGAGCAGTGGAAACGTGTTCTCTGGAGTGATGAATCAAGCTTCTCTGTCTGGCAATTCCATGGATGCGTCTGGGTTTGGCAGTTGCCAGGAAAACAACACTTGCCTGTCTGCATTGTGCCAAGTGCAAACTCTGGTGGAGGGGGGATTATGGTGTGTGGTTGTTCTTCAGGGGTTGGGCTTGGCCCCTTGGGTCCAGTGAAGGGAACTCTTAAGGTGTCAACATACCAAGACATTTTGGGCACTTTCATGCTCCCAGTTTTGTGGGAACAGTTTGGAGATGGCCCCTTCCTGTTCCAACATGACTGTGCACCTGTGCACAAAGCAAGATCCATAAAGACATGGATGACCGAGTTTGGGTTAAAGGAACTTGACTTTCCTGCACAGAGTCCTGACCTCAACCTGATAGCACACCTTTAGGATACATTAGAGCGGAGACTGCGAAGGCTTTCTCATCTGACATCAGTGCCTGACCTCACAAATGCACTTCTAGAAGAATGGTCAAACATTCCCACAGACACAGTCCTAAACCTTGTGAACAGCCTTCTCAGAGTTGAAGCTGTTATAGCTGCAAAGGCTGGGCCAACTCAATATTGAACCTTACGGACTAAGACTGGGATGCCATTAAAGTGCATGTGTGTGTAAAGACAGGCGTCCCAATACTTTTGGCAAGATAGTGTATATGTGTGTGTGTGTGTGTGTGTGTGTGTGTGTGTGTGTGAATTTTGATAAAACTGAGTTTTAATGAACATTTGTTTAGCTCATTACATGAAATTAAGGTTAATATTATCACTTAAATTACAAAATCTCCAGTTGTAATCAAATTACTTGATGCAAAAATGAATACACCCCACAACAAAAACTACTACATCTAGTATTTTGTACAACCTCCATGATTTGTAAGGGCAGCACCAAGTCTTCTAGGCATGGAATGAACAAGTTGGCAACATATTACAACATCTATCTTTTTCTATTCTTCAAGAACAACCTCTTTTAGAGCCTGGATGCTGGATGGAGAGTGATGTTCAACTTGTCTCTTCAGAATTCCACCATAGGTGTTCGATTGGGTTCAGATCAGAAGACATACGTGGCCACTGAATCACTGTCACCCTGTTCATCTTCAGAAATGCAACAGTGGCCTTAGATGTGTGTTGTGGATCATTGTCATGTTGGAAAAGTGCATGATGCCTAAAGGTACAGAGTGATGGTAGCATCTTCTCTTTCAATACAGAGCAGTAAATCTGTGAATTAATGATACCATCAATGAAATACAGCTCCCCGACACCAGCAGCACTCATGCAGCCCCAAAGAAGGACACTGCCCCTACTATGTTTCAGTGTAGGCACCATGCATTTTTCTTTGTACTCCTCAACTTTGCAATGTCATACATTTTTGAAGCCATCAGTTCCAAAAACATTTATCTTGGTTGCAGTACTCCAGTGTACAGAATTCCAGTAGTCTTCTTTTTTTTCAGCATGGGCCGTGGCAAATTCTAGGCAGATTTTTTTTGTACATGGGCCTTAGGAGAGGCTTCCTTCATGGGCGACATCCATGCATGCTATTCTTCTGCAGTTTATTGTGTCATGAGAAACAATCACCCCAGTTTTGCTTTCTTCTTCTTTAGCGAACTGTTGTGAACTTACATGGTGAGTTTCTTCAACCCATCTCATCAGGAGACGTTCCTGTCGAGGTATTAACTTCCATGGATGGCCTAGACATCTCTGTGAGATGGTTACAGTTCCATCTTTGTTAAATTTTTGTATTTCTTTTGCTAAAGTATTCTGACTGATAAGTAAAGATTTTCTGATCTTCTTGTAGTCTTCACCGTTCTTGTGTAAAGAAATTATTTTCTTTCTCAGGCCTTGTGACATTTCTCTTCCATGTGGTGCCTTTGCTGACAGCATGAATTGGGAAGGGGTTGCTTAATGAATAATTAGACTTACCTGAAGTTGAATTCTTGTTAATTAGGATTTTGTTGTCTAAAATGTTGCTTTGTTCCTAAGGCTTTCATTGGGGTGTATTCATTTTTGCAACATGGTCTTGAATGAATTTGTTAGGAAAAATACTTTTTTGTGTGCAAACTAACAAATCTTGTTTGCAATCAATGGCGTGCAATTGTGGGAGTATTTTGTAGTATTGTCCCATAGAAAATGTTAATTCTGAAAGGAAAGTAAAGATTTTCTGACAAATCTGAGGTGTACTCATTTATGCTGAGCACTGTATATATATATGTATATATATAACTGTAAAATGACTGCTGAGAAGTATAGAAGTATATAAGTATATATGTCCATATCACAGTGGCCTTACCCACATAATCACACAGAAATAATTTTGAATTGGACAAGCTTTATTCATTAATACCATTAAACATCAACAATCAATATATATTTTCCATATCAGTCACCTAAACAAAAGCCACAGTAGTCTAAGCATGTCCTTTCTGTGAGTGCCAGACTGGGATTTGACTAACCAAAAAATCCACTTAAGGGGATAAATCATAAACAACCATCCAAAAGCTGGCAAGGTACCAACCACCAAAAAGGCTGTGACGATCAAACAGAACTCAGGATGGGTGGCTCGGAAACTTGTCAGATAGCAATGGCCTTTATTGTTTAACTAAATCTAGGTGTGTGTGAGAAAGAGAAAGATACCTACTAACCAATACAGGAGTTCTGATGCAGAAGTCAAATGGAAGTCCCTGGGTGATCCTAGGAATACGCCATTATTGCTGACCTTTTATGTGGTCTGGCAGCTTAGTCATCATCAGCTCCAAAGGGTTGGTTAAACTCCCCGGGAAAGTTCAATAACCCATAAAGTTATGCAATTTACACACTGAAGTTATTTGAAAGCCTTAGATGTTAAACAGCACTTGTATTGTACTGAAGCTTAGCCAAGAAAGGCAAGCAGAGGACAAAGAACTAGTTACCAGTAGGGTTCCTACAAGAGTTCCCTATTGCTAACTTAGCATGCCTTGCTCTGTAGCCATCTTGGTAAAGGCTGGGGTTTGTTTTCCCAATTCAAAACAGCTCATCTGATGACTGATTGATTATATTCAAGAAGCAGTTGGAGAAACAAAAGAAGCATAGATCCACAGAATGAATAAAGGGGTAGAAGGGGGCAGACACAGGGAGACACTTGCACTGCAAATCCTCAGGTACAGATTCCTCTCCAGCAAGAACAGTGAGCAGCACAGTACCAAACCCATCTCATGAGACTAGCAAACATAGTAGTACCTTAGATGATCATAAACTGCAAATATACAGCTTTAAGCTACAGAAAAGGAGTGTCCATGCACTGTCACATGTAAGGAATTGCTCTACTATTTATTAGGAGGAATTAAGGAAATAAGGTTTCATTTTCAGGGTACTGCTTAGGTACAGTAATATTTTTATGTTTTCCCTATATTTTCTCTTTTTGAGAACTGATCCGTTATAAGTGCAAAAATTAGAACGCCATACCATTATACAAAAATGCACATGCTGGAGTAGCACACTGAATACTGCTTCCACACAGAGAGCAAAAATCCTTCTCTGTAGCATGCTGATAGGAGACAGGCTTTTGGCTGTTTCTAAGGCCCCTTTTGCACTTGCAGACTGTCTGTTTTTCATTCATCCGTTGACGGATGAAAAATGGACATCAATGGAAATTTTCTATCATTATGGAAAAATGGATGTAAAGGAATGATCATACATTTACATCTGTTTACATCTGAAACTGACCACATACATTTTTTGAAACAGATCAGAGCCCTATTCTTGTTCCATTAAAAAAGAAGTAAAGGAAAATAAATGGATGCAAATGGACAAAGAGTCCATTTTTGCATTGGTTGTTAGGAGGCAGCACCCACCAGCATCCCACCAACCAGTAACTCATCTCTGCTGTCAGTGGGGATTTCTACTGACAGCACAAAGTATCAAAAGAAGAAGAAAAAAGCAGACTAAATGTGGTGGTGGGGAGCAGGGGGTTGTGTGTATTGCAGAAGGGGGGTGGAGGGAAAGGCAGGAAACAGGGAGTGGACCTCAGCAAGCCTATGCACCCTGCTTACTTGCATATATGTAGTCTAAAGGGGCACTCCATCCTTGACCTTTACTTATAGCATTCCGGTTACACACACCCCCCCAATCCTGATAAATATGACTTCAATGAATTATATTACTCAACCTGATTGTGTTAAATGATATCCAAAACTTGACACTACCACAGCAGTAATAAGTAAAATAATATATGTAATAATTACTGATATTTATCATTCGTATATGCTATAGAAATATTTATCCAACACAAACGCCGCACTTATAACACAAAATTATTATAAATCTCTAAAAAAATATTTTATGTGTATTCTCTTGAGGCAATATATTTTGCCATTATTTCGCTGGTATTTATTTAAAAATATTTAATTTTTTTGTATTTGTAATTATCTGAGCTTTGACTTTTTCATGCCTTTTTTTTTTAAGCGGTGGTGTTTAATCTCTCCCGTTTTACCTGTCATCTTTATTTTTTCCATCCTTGTCATGTATCATATTCCCCTAAGAAATATTTTGGCAAAGCATTGCACTTTGAAGATTACACAGTATTTCTGCTGTTTTACTGGGGATGCTGATTGAGTCTGTTTGAATTTATGCTTTGGACACATTATGCAGCTGAAAAAAGAAAGTTCTAAAGGTTCTGCAACTGATTAAAATAGGGGGAGGTCATTGAGATTCACATCACAAGTCTGACAATAAATTGTCTCATTTTGTCAGAAGGAACATGATTTACATTGCACAGTGTGAAGACCAAGCGCAACTGATGATCTGAAAATGTTTGTTTCTAAAAACATCTGAAGGTTCAGTTACCTTAAGGGTTAGGTTTATTCGCCCACAGGAAACAGAGTTGGAATAATTTACAGGCTCATTGTTCCTTACGAAACAAATTAATTTTCAGTTACAGTAATGAGAATCCAGAGATTGTGATGGAACTCATTTAAGAAAGACCGAGACATGAAAAATTAAACTACAGAGCAGGGAGTCTCACCACAATTTATTTGGAGGACGGAATGAATGAAGGAAGAAACGGTGATAGAACCCTTTTTGGAAATATCGAGACATTTAACAATTAATTCATTCTTTTAAGATAATAAACATGTTATACTTGCCAGTTCTGTGCACTGGTTTTGCACAAAGCAGCCTGGATCCTCCTCTTCTCAGGTTTCCCACGGGAGCTCCTGGCTTCTCCCCCCCCCTCTAAGTGCTCCCACACCAAGCTGCTGGCTATGGGGGCACTTGTGCATGTTTGCTCCGATCCACGCTCTGTGTGTCCTAGGAAAAAAGGAAAAGAAAGGGAAAGAAAGGGAAAGAAAAGAAAGAAATGAAAGAAGAGAAAGATGATAATGGCATAGAGGAGGGGCGAAATGCGTCACTGTATTTCCAATTCTGGTGGATGCGTAGTGACGTCACATCCGGTGAGTAGAGCGCACATTGGTTTGCGGCGCTCCGGAATGACTTCCTGCTTCCCTTAAGGGGAGATTGTAATTTCATACTACCTACTGCCAGTCCACTTCTGGAAAGGAGGAATTTATATGGATTTGTGTCACAAGTATTAGCCTCTCAACTTATTATAGAAGCGTGAATACAATTTATATCATGTGAGTGCATTAAGGGCAGCATTTTTTAGGAATAAAGAGTTTTATACAGCATTGCACTATTTGTGTTCTTTATTTGTTTGTTTTTCATTGCCATCTAAATGTGGGAATCGTATTTGAAGGATATCAAGTGCAGATGTATCTGGGGAGGATACACCCCATCTTTAGCGCTTGTTTGACGCTTTAGCCATACCAGCAAAGAGTCCACTCCATCTGGTGAGTGGGGAATGGATTGTCAATCACGGATGGTGTGAGCACTTTTTTTGAAGATTTTTTTTGAAGATTTTGTTGAGCACTATTTCTGGGATTGGAGCACATTCTTATATTTGGGACTTTTGTCTGGACTTTTTACACATTTATACATTTTTTGCGCTGTGGAGTGTTTATGTTTTTATTGTTGTCTATAGACGGAGCAGGAAGTGAGGGGACAGAGATAAAAAAAAAAAACAGTTTCAACAAATTACCTTTGTAAATGGAGTACTGACTAGCTTTCTAGAATTGGGAAAGACCAACCTCTTTAAAGCAGAACATCGGTTTCATTAAACCCATCTCCCCCACCCCTATCCTGAAGTCTCCATCAGTAAATAAAAAAATCATGTTATATACTTTTTTCTACATTGTTCACGCTGTTTCAGTAATGTCCCCAGTCCTCAATGGCGGCAGTCCTTCCTCCTAATAATGCTTCCTGGAGCTCTGTAAGCCCCATCGCAGTGATAAAGCCGCCTTAAGGGACAGGTCCATGACAGCTTGAGCTAATAGGTAGTAGGTTGAAGGAAGCAGGCCATCATCAAATCTAGAATGACATCTAGAAGAAGAAGTACTACAGGGCACAACTCCAGATTGATGCTGAATATT